AACAAAAACAATCATTTAGATTTTTACTTTTATTTTAATTAAAGTGACGAAAAAAAACGAACAAACTCCGATTCTAGACTTTTTATTCTAATAAAGAAAAACAAAAAAAAATCAGCTCTCTCACTCCTCATGTATTTGGCGCCCCCTGTGGTCAGAGGAGGTAACAGCAGGATGAGGAGTGAGAGAAACACTCGTTCACAGACTGACAGGCCGGAGTGGAAACTATAAACGAGTGTTTGTCAAAGTTCTCATGTGTGACGATAAAAACTCATCAATCCTGTTTTTGTTTTTATGATTAATGTTTTTTTTTATTGTTATTTAAAGTTCCTCAGGAGGAAATCTGCACTTTTAACGTTTTTTTTTTTCAGCTGCTCATCTTTCAAAAAGTCAAAGTGTCTGCTGTAAAAATCAGACGGTAACCACGGCAACAGAATTATTCAATAACACTGAAAATATCAAGTCAAATTCACAGAGTTAAGATGAGAGCGCCCCCTACAGTAGAGTAATTAACCAAAGTGAGTGAGTCTGACGGTAACGAAGGAAAGGGTTCATTATCTTCATTTAACGATTAATTTTATTAAACTGTTAAAAAAAATTAAATATCAGCTGTGAGTGTGAAGATAACACACTCTTTATCAGTGTGTGTGTGTGTGTGTGTTTGTGTGTGTGTGTGTGTGTGTGTGTGTGTTACCCTGAGTGTTGTCTTGTTTCTTCTCCAGTTTGTTCTCAGGAATCAAAGAATCTGAACGACAAAGAGAAAGAGTGTGTTAGTGAAGCTGGGCTGGACCAGAACCTGGACCAGAACAAACCTGGACCAGACTCTGTTATCAGAGACAGAACCAGAACCTGGACCGGACTTCATGATCAGAGAAGTCTGAGCAGTTGTTTGAACCCTCGGCTCACATGTTTTACTCTGTTTGGAAACTTCTTTATTTTTAATTAAAGTTTGAAATGAAGTTTTTTTCTCTTACAGGAAAAAATCTAAAATTTTAACGTCCATCATTTCATCAGGAGTTTGATTTAAAGGAGAAGAGGAAGAAGAAGAGGAAGACTCTCAGGTGTTTCATGTTTACCTGTGACGGGGTCGGGGTTTTTCAGCGCCCGCTCCACCTGCTCCCTCCTCCTCGACTCAAAGTCCAGCGCCTCCTGCAGCTTCCTCTTCGCCTTCTTCTCTTTCTTCAGGCGCCGCTGAATCGACGCTACGAAAAACAGGAAACACTTCATTTTATTTTTACCACAAACAGGAAACACTTCATTTTATTTTTACGTCAAACAGGAAACACTTCATTTTATTTTTACCACCAACAGGAAACACTTCATTTTATTTTTACGACAAACAGGAAACACTTTATTTTATTTTTATGACAAACAGGAAACACTTCATTTTATTTTTACCACAAACAGGAAACACTTTATTTCTTTTTGGAAAAGGGAAAAAAATTTAGTAAAAAACTTTATTTAAATTCAGTTTATTAAAAAGATTCGACAACAAAAACATTAATCAGAAAATCATGAAAAACTAACAAAAACAGTTTTACCCTGTGTCTGTAGTTTGAACATGTCTGTAGTTATAATGTGTCTGTAGTTTTAGACTCTCACCTGTCTGTGTCTGTGCTCTCTCACCTGTCTGTAGTTTTACAGTCTCACCTGTGTCTGTAGTTTAAATATGTCTGTAGTTCTCTCACCTGTGTCTGTGCTCTCTCACCTCGTGTCTGTAGTTATAATGTGTCTGTAGTTCTCTCACCTGTGTCTGTGCTCTCTCACCTCGTGTCTGTAGTTATAATGTGTCTGTAGTTCTCTCACCTGTGTCTGTGCTCTCTCACCTCGTGTCTGTAGTTATAATGTGTCTGTAGTTCTCTCACCTCGTGTCTGTAGTTTTAGACTCTCACCTGTGTCTGTGCTCTCTCACCTCGTGTCTGTAGTTTGAACATGTCTGTAGTTATAATGTGTCTGTAGTTCTCTCACCTGTGTCTGTAGTTCTCTCACCTGTGTCTGTAGTTCTCTCACCTCGTGTCTGTAGTTTGAACATGTCTGTAGTTATAATGTGTCTGTAGTTCTCTCACCTGTGTCTGTAGTTCTCTCACCTCGTGTCTGTAGTTTTAGACTCTCACCTGTGTCTGTGCTCTCTCACCTTGTGTCTGTAGTTTGAACATGTCTGTAGTTACAATGTGTCTGTAGTTCTCTCACCTCGTGTCTGTAGCTCGCAGCTCAGTTGTCTCTGCAGCGAATGGCGAGCGTCTCTCTCTCTCTCCAGCTCCAGTTTTAACTCTTTCCTCTCCGTCTGGTTTTGTCTGTCCTGACAGCGAGCGCTCTGTACCGCCACCTTCAGGAGACCCTGAGAACACAGACACACTTCATTATCTCAAACCTTCATCGTTTTTATCCTCCGTCTGATTTTATCTTCAGGTCACCTGGATGTTGGTCAGCAGCGTCTCCATCGATGACAGACCCTCAGCCAATAGAAACGGAGAGAAGGCGGGGTTTGTGCTGCTGATTGACAGCTGCTGAGTGGTGAGCGGCAGCTTCTCATAGGCTGGTTTGAAGAGGGGGAGGGGCAGCAGAAGGTCACCTGCAGGCAGAGACCAGGTAAAAACAACGACTGTTTCCTGTTGACTTGAACCAATCGAGATGTGACGTTCACGGACGACTCAGTCATTTGAACGATTCACTGTTGGGAGTCGTTCTAATCAGAAATCGCCCTCGCTGCCTTTACGTGTCCCCAGGTAGGGTGGTATGTTTTATCATTTTTATCATGTTCTTATTTTAATGATAGTTTTTTTAAATATATATTTTATATATATTTGTATTCTTATAAACTTTCTAGTGTCACTTTAATCTTCTTTACACTGAAACTCTTATGTGCATCACATGATCATCTAAGAAATAGAGCTATAAAAATATTATTCATTTTTACTTTTTTAGGCTCATTTTTTCTCCACATCTGCCCTGATTGTTAAAATAAAATACTGATAAATTTTTAATTATTCTAAACCTTATACTGTGAGTTTTTTTTAAATGATGCCGCCCTGCTTTTAGATTAAAAAAACTGATCGAATGGATTATCTTTAATAAACGACATACAAAAGAGATTTTTTTATACTGAATTATTACAGTCAGCGATCACATACAACATTCAAATTTATGCATTATTTATTTTAAATTTGTTCTGTTTGAAACTCGCTCAGTTAATTCTTCTGTTTGTTTCTCTCGTTGAAATCTTCTTGTTCTCTCACAGTTTAGTTTTTGGTTTTGAAGTTTTCTGCCGCCTGTGTCGTTTTTTATTTGGACACAAAGTTTTTTAGGTGAGGAAAGAAAAAATCAGAATATTGATCCGACTGCGACAGCGCGGGGATACGGCGCCACCTTATGGATGTTTAGAGAGAGAACACAACTTAAATGGAGTTCTAATCAATATTTCAGAATAAATCCCGTCAATCGAGTTTATATTAGTGGGACGTTTAAATCTGAATTATTTTGATCCATATTACGGCTCATGACTGCGACCTGTGATTGATTATTAAAAACCAGTTCGTCTGTTTGACTCCTAAAAAATAAATATAAGAACTTTTCCTTTAAACGGCTCCTTTTAAAGATCCAGAAGTCCGTCTCTATTCCCCACAAACAACCCGATCAATATTTAAAGCTGTTTCTTAAAAGGTGAAAAATCTTTGTGTCGATCTTCGTGAGGACCTCTGAGAGGACTTCACCTCCTGTTCGCATTAATTCAGATTTAACTGTTTTTACCGACAGAGCAGAATAAACCTCAGTGAGGAAGAATAACGGATGTTCAGTGTGTGATAATGAATAAAATATGAGGAGGAGTCAGAGCGCCTGCAGACATGTTTCTGTTTCTGAGAGACCATCTGTCCTCCATCACACTCAGGTTTACCTTTCTCCTTCAACACCTTCTTCATGCTGTTCTCCTGCTCTGCAGAGTCACCGTCTGAGAGAGAGAGAAGGAACGTTCAATTACTTTAATCTACGGGACCAGAGAAAAACCTGACTGTAAGAAAACACCAGAGGAACCAGAGAGGAACCAGAGAGGAACCAGAGAGGAACCAGAGAGGAACCAGGACTCTTCATCATGATCATAGATCAGTATACAGCACACAGATAAATAAACAGTCTGAACACTGAGGAGTGGAATTATCAGGAGAACTCCAGCAGCAAAATTCATCCAAAATTAATCCATCAAATAAAATCTAAAAAACTTAACGTGAAAAAACAACAACGACAAAACCAAGAAACATAAACTGAGACCAAAATAGAACCAAAGAACCAAAGGAACCATAAGAACCAAAATAGAACCGTCGGAGCAGCAAAGAAGTTCAAAATAATGTGAAATAATACGGAAGAGACTGTGGAGGAACAACAACTGGAAAGATGAGCACAATAATAAAATAATGACAAAAATCAGCTGATCTCAGATATTACAGATTAAAGGCACAGTACGTGTCTTTCTGTGTGTGTGTGTGTGTGTGTGTGTGTGTGTGTGTGTGTGTGCGCTGACCTGGCTCAGGTGTGTGCGTTGCAGGTGGAGGTGATGATGAGGCTGATGAAGACGCTCTGGAAGGTGATTGGCTGGTCAGTTCCTGGGGTTGGAACTCATCGTCACTGGGGGAGGGGCAGGGGGAGGGGCTTCCTGGGGGCGTGTCCTACACAGAGACAACTCTTAGGGTTAGCATTAGCACCATTAGCATCACTTTTGTTGACACCGTTTTCAGTTTGTAGAACTTCAGTAGACTAGCGCTCCTAGATTAGCGTAGCCTATGCTAACTTTAGCTCTGTCCATAAACGATTCACGCCAAATGAGCGGAACAGATTTCCAGCTTCACTTGTAAACGTCACCGTCATCGTTAGCATTGACAGACATGAGAGCTGAAGTTAAAGCTTTAGCGCTGTTAGCTTTAACATGGTTAGCTTTAGCACTGTTAGCTTTAGCACCATTAGCTTTGACACGGTTTGCTTCAGCATCCACACGTCAAAGTGATCGGCATTTCGCTTACGGTTAGCTTGATCTCTTCTCCTTTGATCTGGGACATGGCGGCCATGTTTGCCAAACCACTCAGCTGACTCATCTGGTTCATCGCCATGGCAACACTGGCAGGAGGCAGACCCACAGGGAGCAGGGGGTGGGGCATTACCATAAAAGGGAGGTCTGACAGCCCTGAAGAGGCGGAGTCAAAGCGGAGAGAAACACATGATCATATCTGACATGCTAACATGCTAAGCTAACAATGATAGCGTGAGAGGACTCACGGTTAGCCAACAGCGCGCTGTGCTGCTGAAGATGGAGAGATGTTGAACCAGGAGGGGGCGCAACTGAGGAGGGAGGAGGAGAGAGGAGGTGCTGCTCCTTTTCCCATGATGCATCACTGCCTCCTACAGGAAGGGGGAGGGGCAGAATTAATCCTCCTGACCTCCTCAGGTGAGACACAGGTGATGATGTCACAACTTACCTGCGTCCTCTGGCTCTGACTCCGCCCCGTTGGGGTGGCGCTGATTGCTGTTGCTATGGAAACCCATCATCATCCTCACCTTCTGCAACTTCAGAGCTTCAGCCATCGCCGCCGCCGCCGTCAGACCTGCCGAGAGGAAACGCATCATCATACCTGACACGGATAAACACGCCCAGGTGAGAGAAGACAGTACACCTGTTTAAGGTCATGGGAAGGTCACTGTTACACCTGTTGAAGGTCACTGTTACACCTGTTGAAGGTCACTGTTACACCTGTTTAAGGTCACGGGAAGGTCACTGTTGCTCCTGTTGAAGGTCACCGTTACACCTGTTGAAGGTCACCGTTACACCTGTTTAAGGTCGAGGTAAGGTCACTGTTACACCTGTTGAAGGTCACTGTTGCTCCTGTTGAAGGTCACGGTAACGTCACTGTTACACCTGTTGAAGGTCACTGTTACACCTGTTTGAGGTCAAGGTCACTGTTACACCTGTTGAAGGTCACGGGAAGGTCACTGTTGCTCCTGTTGAAGGTCACGGTAAGGTCACTGTTACACCTGTTGAAGGTCACGGGAAGGTCACTGTTACACCTGTTTAAGGTCACTGTCACACCTGTTGAAGGTCACTGTTACACCTGTTGAAGGTCACGGGAAGGTCACTGTTGCTCCTGTTCCGTTCGAACCGTAGATCCGTTCAGATCGGTCCATTTGTCTCTGATTGATCAATAATTAATCACTCTGCAGTCGTTGCGTCTCTGGTGACTGTCTTTGTCGTTAACTGCCTCTCTCTCTCTCTCTCTCTCTCGTCCTGCAGCCACTGACCCAATTAATTACCTCTTCTAATTAATTAATTCATCAGAGTTAACGAGGGACTGGAGCTAACGAGCGGACAGTGACCCTCCGGCTGGCAGAAGAAAAACAAAGTTTCTTTTTCTCCTCCGTTCACCTGCAGGTGGTTTTTATATTTTTATGTTCAGCGCCTGAATCTGGAACAGTCGGTGTCAGGAGACCGAGGCTGACTCCAGATCAGACTAAGATCTGTCAGAGCAGAGAGTTAACTGAGATTCATATGAAGGCCGTTTTCTCTTCAGCAGAGTTTCAGTCACAAAAATACGTCAGAAATTCTGCGTCTGAGGAGGATCTGCAGGTGTTTACATGACCTTCAGTTGTCCGGTCTTAATCGGAATAAAGCGATAATTCTGTTTTCTCGAGTCTAATGGAAACGGACTGAATGATTTCGAATTCTACCTTAAAAGAACAACTGGACTTAGTTGAGACGTTTAGGCGAAACGTCTCAACTAAGTCCAGTTGTCCGATCAATTTCCGATCATTTTAACCCTTTAACCCCGATACGTGGATTTATTTTTTCTCGGCACAGAGTCTCAGATTTGTTTTGACCCGACCAATCACAGTCTTACCGGCAATTTCCACGTCTCCTAAAAGGTCGTATCCTCCGATCGTAGCTGATCGTAACCATTCAAGTTAACGTGTCAATTTACACCGACTTCTTTCCGTTCCTCTGCGGATCGCCGGACTCCTCAGCTGATCACAAGAGTTCTATTTTTTCTGGACACCGGAGCATGGCGGATAAATTCAGCACAGATTAACCCGTGCTGGAAAGGAAGTCGGGCACAGACACAAAATAAAACATCCGGCTTCTTTTCAAAATAAAACACTCCGTGTTTCAGGAGGATCGTATTTCACACCATGCAAACGGGCGGAGACGAACAAGTGAAAGGTTTTTAGACGTCATTTCACCCCGATGACACCATGGATGAGGAGATGCTGATTCTAGAAGTCTAGAAGTAGATTTCCTCCTCTGGAAGGACACAATCTACTGCTTATATGTCTATGTGTCTGTCTTTAGAGAGACAACTCGTTATCGCGTGATTGAACGTGAATCCTCGGGTTCTTGTGAGTTCTTGTGATTCCTGCTGTCCGTAATCTGCCATTAAATTTGCCTCACAAACGGATCCAGTAGGAATTGGCGGACGGTGAAAATTGCTGCTGTTCCGGATGCGGTGGAAATCCCAGGTAAGTGCCAAATCTCTTTATCCGTGCAGTGATCACAGTGAGCTGGACTGAGATGATGATGAGGTGCTGTTCTGACCAGATACCCAAATCCTTTCTGCCAGGGGAGGGTGCAAACTTGGCGAGTGCTCCAGGAGAACCAGCACCAGGGCCACATATATGATCCAGAATCCGACCCTAAAGGCGGAGGAGGTAAATGCAGGAAGAGTTGCAGTTGCAGCTTTAAGACTGTTATGTTGCCGACTGATGCATAAAAATGTGACAGTCTTGTTTCGACTGTTTTGTCTCTTGTATCGTTTTGTGTTTGTCTCAGAAAAAACACAAAATTTATCCCAAAGTGAACCTGCAGACTGTTGTTTAAAATAAGCAACAGCCTTTCTGTCTTTGTCCTCTGGTGACATTTGTGTTGGTTTTTCACTAACGATCATAAAAATAATAGTTACAATATACCTTATTTTTTGGACTATAGGGCGCACTTAAAATCCTTAACTTTTCTCAGAATTTGACATTATGCATGATTACTTGTTGTGCTTACTGACTGATTTTATGTGGTACAATGCCCTCACAAATCTGCCGAATAGTCTAAGTACGACTTCTAAGCATCGAAGCTGCTCCTCTCAATGGATATTCAGAGTATTAAGACACGCTCTTGTGTGACTTTGTGGAGGTCCTTCTTGGTACTTCCGTTTTATGAAACGGCGTCATCTCTCCATCTGCACAAGAGATACCATCTCACAGCGACAGCCAAAGGATCACAGAGAAACGCTGGAACATCTTCTGCAGGAACAAAATCACTGAGAGGAGAATCGAGCCGGACCACATGACCAACATGTGACGGTTCTCTGTTCTCTGATGGTTGAAGAGTTTGTGTTTCAGCTCGCTCAGAGACACTCCGATGTCTTTGAGTAAAAATCATCAGTAATAAATGTGTGTGAGGTTTGAGGATGAGGTGATTACAGAGCTCCGTCAGGTGAGAAGAGGACACACTGAGCTGTAAACAGACACGTCACTTTGATGAATTTATCTGGTTTTCAGTCGGTTTGATCAGAGAGTCGAACATTCATCACAGAGAGACACTCGCTCTGCGTTCACAGACTTCATTTCATACATGATGCTTCTGTTTGTGGATCAGATTGAACCTGAGGCCGAGTCTGCAGAGCGCCGCCGCACAAACCATCAGTCAGTGTCTCAAAGACCGACGGACGAGTTCAGAGGAGCAGGGAGACCTCCGCAGACTGACGAACACCAGAGCCTCTGTCTTCATACCGACACACCGACCATGGTTATTACGTTTCCATCCCGTCTGCAGAGCGTCCAATCACAGCTGAGGTCACTGAGAGGAGGAGGGGCTCCTGCAGGTCAGGGCCGTCTGTTTCCATAGTGACCATATCAGAGGTTGGTCTGTGGACCTCCTGACTCTCTGTCCTCCAGCTGAGATCTTCTTTAGTCCGGTCTCAGAGTCTCGGTCCAGCTCAGGCGGTCTCAGAGTCTTGGTCCAGCTCAGGCGGTCTCAGAGTCTCGGTCCAGCTCAGGCGGTCTCAGAGTCTTGGTCCAGCTCAGGCGGTCTCAGTCCGTCTCCATCCTGAGTGAATCTCTGCAGGTCGGTTCTTGACACACGTCAGCGGGGTATCTCCATGCTGATTGGTTATCGCGGCGCGAACATATCTGAGTTCAGATATTTACAACTCACGCCAATAGGCGTTTGAAGTAAGTGGCGTGCTACACGTGACGCAGATTTGCATCTTTCAGGTATTTTATCGGCTCAGTTGGAAACGCTGCTGTCGCCCGAGTCGAACACACGACTGACCACATCTTTGCATCAACTTAACATGAAACGATTGAACCCACTCTTGGTCTGAAAGTAAAGGTCAGAAAAACACTGAGAGAGAATAAAGGAGGGATCCACGCCAAGATACCCATAATGCACCTCTCTGTTTGTGGAAGCACAGATCCAGTTTGACCAAAGACAACGAGGCTTTATCCGAACTTTACACTCGACCTTTACCTCGTTTTAATTAACTCTGTGTGTGTGTGAGAGAGAGAGAGAGAGAGAGAGAGAGAGAGAGGGAGAGAGAGAGAGAGAGAGAGAGAGAGAGAGAGAGAGAGAGAGAGAGAGAGAGAGGAGAGAGAGAGAGAGAGAGAGAGAGAGAGAGAGAGAGAGGAGAGAGAGAGAGAGAGAGAGAGAGAGAGGGAGAGGGAGAGAGAGAGAGAGAGAAAGAGAGAGGGAGAGGGAGAGAGAGAGAGAGAGTGTTTAATAATTTTTCCTCTTTGATCTCTCTCTCTCTCTCTTTCTCTCTCTCACACACACACTCTCTCTCCCTCTCTCTCTCTCTCTCTCCCTCTCTCTCTCTCTCTCTCTCTCCCTCTTTCTCTCTCTCACACACACACTCTCTCTCTCTCTCTCTCTCTCTCTCTCTCTCTCTCTCTCTCTCTCTGACCTCGGTCAAGAAATGTGCCAGTTTGAGTCTTTTCAATAAAAGCCAGTGTGTGTGTGTGTGTGAGTGTGTGTGTGTGT